AGGCGCCTAACTCGTGTTGGCTTCGCAAGGGTCGCCATTTGGCATGCCATGCTTCCAATCGAAAATCCTAGAAGGTCAATCAACTCTAGGGAGAGTGCGTCGAGAAAGGCGTTTAGGTCATCCCCCATGACGTTAACTGCCACCCAGGGCGGAAAATTTCAGCATCCGTTTTGAACTGACGATAAGAATGTCTGAGAGAACTTACTGTCGGTGGGCGTGCGATCAGTGCCACCACTACTTTGTCCTACCGCAGGAGGATCAAACATGATAACGGGACGCTTGGCCGCAATGGGCCGGATGAAGACTGGGTCCCAGTAGCCCATAGAGGCTCGCACCTTCGTGTGGTGGATAACTCCTGTCAATGGTTTCACTGACTTCCGAGGGTCGAATATCGACTCACATGCATGTGCAAGACAAGAGGAACACCCTCAGAGGGACCCAAGCGCCGGTATGCGTAGATGATGCCGTTTCGGGCTTCTACTCTCTGAACTGGGATGTGAGTCGAGAGCATGTTCATGGCCTATATCGATGGTGGGTTAAAGCGGATAATAGAGAAGGCAGGGTGTTTATGTTGATGGCAATTAAAGCTCTCAGAAAGAACTGCCGTTGACCTGAGAGGTGCGCTTCCAAGGAGGGGCTAGTATATGTGTTGAACGTGTCCCAGCTTTGTCTGCACGCGTTTGACTTTCCAAACAACGAACTAAATAACAACCAAAACCTTCACGGACCACATGTTCCCCTTAGACTAGATGCCAAGATGTCTCCAGAAGCACGAAGCAAGTGAAAATGAAACCTAATATCATTGTGGGATGGCTAATATGGAAGAGAAACATGGGGCAATAGGCCTAAAGAATACATTTTGTATTCATGGACCACATTGACCAAACTTCAGCCTAGCTCTATGATATTGCGGTAATCTACAGCCTCCAGGCTGGTGAAGCAGACAGGCCGCCCTTGTTGATAGGAAAATACCACGGACTACAGTATTGACCCGCTTGTGCAGGAAGCCAAGGGCCCTTGGGCTGCTTAAGTTCGTCGGCAATCTTACCATGAGCATGCGTTACTTCGTGCAAAGGCATTAGGACATAGGGCTACTTATGGATCTTGCTGGGGGGGGACCATGCTTAATTCAATACAACCCTATTGGCCGTTCTCAATACAAACTCAATCTCCCGTGCAACTTTAGCCAAAAACACCATCATTCTTCGGCTTAAATTCCACATGTGGCATGCTTTTTACCTGCTGAGGTATGTTGTTCAACATACTTTCATCCATGCCCTCGAGCAAGGGAGCCGACATTCCCATCTGCGCATCAATCAACATGGGCCACCAAATGCCGTTGTAGTTTGGGATGAGGATTGGCACACTCACTGCGTAGTACTTGAACTTATTCGAATGCAACATCGTGGCACCCTTGACCTGAATTTTCCATCGTAGCACTGCCCAACCTAGGGGTGGGACGTCGTGTACCAGCTGTAGCGAGGGTCTCTCGAGGTCGAGCTCCTTGATACCGGCCGCTATGGCGTCTTGTACCGTATCCCAGTCCCACGTTGCATTGGCCTTGGAACCGAGTAGGAACATGGGATCACCGTGCTTGTAGAGAGGCATTGTGTCATCCACCGAGTTATGAACGATCACGTCGACAGTGGTGCCCCAAGGAAGATCCCTCACGATGGGTGGTTCAGTAGCTGTCAGGTTGTCAAGGAATAGCAACGGGCTCATCTGAGCGTGGAAGAGCTGATAAGGCTTCTGGTTCAGATAGTACTCAGTAACGTGCTTCTCATACCGCGAAGGCTGATGGCCAATGCGGAAATGCAAAGTTTTATTGGCAGGCGGAGGAGGCGATGGAGGGTGCGGTGCCAATGTCGACGGTGCTGTTGTATTGCATGAGGCGTGAATGGAGCCATCGGGGTTCACACAAGGTGGCGAGCCACTTTGAGGATTCTGTATGGACATTGGAGCTCCATGTTGCGGATATCTCAGGGCCTGATACCATCTTAGTTTCACGTACGCGCAGAGCCTTGGTGTGGGGAACAAGACTACGTGGAAACATACCGGATATCTCAAAATGGCATATCCGTGGAGGTTCTGATGAGTGCTTGTTGAAGCAAGACGCATTGCGTAATCGGCCGCCTCACGATCAAGTTTGACTAAAACGGTGTAGCGGGCCCCATTCGTGAGATAAAGCACATCCACTAGCTTTGGATCAACGAAGCCACCGTCATTTGCAATGATCCACATCTGATGGTCGTCAATAGCAAAATGAACAGCGTGCTCAAAGCCGATATTCAGGATGTTAAGCATTATCCAGGGTTTCCCGTGTGTTTCAATTATCTGTGTCGCAGTTTAGCTGTGGGGATTGATAATGATGGCAAACGATTCATCTCATGACGTATCAACAAGTCATACCTCGTAATCAGCCTCCGTGGGACTGCACTGGACACCCTCGTTTCCTGCCTCTATGGCACAGCCGGATTCATCTAGCCTCTTGCCACCAAGATAAGAGTATTCTGGGTGGCGGCAATGGCGGCGGCCTTTGGAATTGACAAGGATGGAGTCATAGCAGTTCAGATTGGTCCCCTCACTTCTCATTTCAAGAATCCGCCAGCCGGCATCACGGCGGTAATAGTTCCATACTAGCAAGTGCTGGGCGTTGCGTTCCGCCTCTTGTATTAGCACCAGTTCGGTAGGAGACGTGGCGATTTGGCGGTACGGACGAGGTCGTGAAGGCGAGGGCGCGATGTAGGCAATGCCATGAGCACCGTCCATAATACCCACACCGGTGTGATCGGCATACCAGTTCAACCCCCAGTGCCCCGTGGTATCGTATCGGTGCGTGAAATTCCCGCGTTGAAGGAGGCCATACTGCCATCCTGTTAGCTAGGAGCTACTATAGTGGGAGATCGGAATGGCGGAAATGGCCTGTCATCGACATACTTGATTTAAACCACCAGTGCCATCGTTGTAAAAACCAAATCTGCCGGGCCAAAGATGTCAGCTCATGACAGAGTGTGTAATTTACATACATTTTACCTTCGATGGTTCATACCAGACCAATGGATCGATACTTGGGCGAATAAATCGTTATGAACGTTGAGCTCCACGATGTCTCCTTCTTCGGCAAACAAGGTCGGGCAGGGGCTCTCGCCGTTACACACGAATATACCTCTCCACAATCCACCATCTGTACACACTGGTTAGAGATTCTTTCCTCACTAGCTAGTAGATTTCAAAGAGTGTTCGAACCGAGGTTCATCCATCGGGCTCCTATAGTGAGGTTGTACCGTCGAACCACTTGGTCAGCCGTCTCTCGGTCACAGCTATTCCCTTTCCCGAGTAACGTTTTGACGGTATGTGTGATGGGCCAGTGAAGCCACCAGATCAGTGCAAACAAGATAAAGAGGACCCCTGGAATTGACCAGCTATGTCGGCGTGGCATCTGGCTTGTGAAGTTAAGTAGGGCTTTGGCCCCATTTAGTTCCTTTGTATCATTGTTAGCGCGGCCGCCATCCACGAGTCGCACTCTGGCCGTTTCCTCGCGTCTCGAAGACTGCATATTCATTCTGTAATGATAAAATATAAGATGCTTCTGCAGAATGGCGAAAAGTAGTAAAAAAACACCCGGGGGGATAAGCGTTATCCCTCTGCGATTGAAACATTAAATCGCAGTAATTGATATGCACAAGTTTGGAGATGACTACTATTAACTGCCGAGGGTATCACGTTGTCCTTAGGTCTTGCCAATAGTTGCGCGAGGTAACTGGGCACAGACGTTCATAAGAATTGTCAAAACTCCCAAACGGCAGAATCATCATCTTACACCGTAATAGTCGCAAAGGTACCAACGACAAGATTGCCTAGACTACATGCGTTGTCTTGAAACGGGAGAAAAGAAAGAGCAATAAGAACTTTAATAACCCCGCCTGCTGTTAAAGGGTTAAATTGTATACAAGTATATCTACGGATCTTGGTATGTAGATACGTCCTACTTAGGGAAACAAACTGTACCCTGTCTGTGGTGCCTAAGGTTGGGAAAAGATACATATAGGCAGCAAGGAAATCAGGTCTACATTTTGAGTGAATACAGTACGTACTGGGGTGATCTAGAATGCATAACAAGTCAACAAAGAAACTGTCGTCATGCAGAAGAAGGTGCATATCTTAGATGTATGTCTTAGTTAGTTCGAAGGTACCTCATCCGACACGAAGTATCAGACATTCTAAGTTATCCTGTAAATGCAGACGCATAAGCCGCCACTGTTTCCATCACCAAATTTCACAAGATTTCCGTCACCTGACTTGAAACGTCAAATCGCACTTTTGCCGTTTGAAATTGTACCCCCTCGCGAAGTATAATTTAACAAGCAAAGTATAATTACATTCAAGAAATTCTGTGTGACGTGCTCTGTTCGAAATGGAAAAAGATTGGATCTCAGTTGACATAAGTTGGTTGGTGAGCAGCGAGTTAGGTTAGTGGAAATATTATGGAACTAAGACACTGATCCTGTCCAATCCCGTATCAAATACGGGACTTTTGAGGACAGAGTTAACGTATAATAGCTAGAAGAGGGGTAGGTTTGAGTTCGCTAGGAATCCAATAGTATCGTTTGAGAGAATACGGCGTGATGAAGCTGGGAGCATATCAAGGAATGGTATGTTCAAGGCCGTGTTATAGGCCATGGAGACAAGGACGCTGGATTGACTATTCTAAAACCGAACTTGACAGAGGATAAAACCGATCTACATAACATAAATTTAAAGAAATATGTCGTCTCTGGTGGATTCTATACCGAATCTTCCCTTCCGACTTAGGATGATTCCAACGGACAGAAAAGCTCGGACAAGCCCGCCGCTAAAATTAGGCTAAAAGCAGCACAAGAAAAGCATCATGGCACCGACATACGTGGAATGGGACTCCGTAAGTTGATGATCAAATGTCCAGACACGTTCATCTGCTAAGATGCAAGGTGCAGCCCGCCAGAGACAAGACCAAGTCCTGGATGCACGATGGAGACATTGATGCAGAGTCCAATACCAAACAGGATTTGACTCGGAATTTGGTCTTGCCATCAGTCTCAAAGTGGCTGCCATCTAGGGACGAGCACAGCGACTACTGGTGGAACATGGCCGGGCCTCACTTCTCAGCACTCCTCCAAAATGCCGGCTACAGCATCAAGGCCCAGTATGAGACTCTCCTCTTTATCTATCACCAGATCGCGCCAAGGATGGGCCCTTCCCCCCTTCTCATGAATTCAGATCGGCCAGACAGCGGCCTCTCCCTTGACGGCACCAGGTTTGAGTATAGTTGGAGATGGAATCAATCTTACACCAAGCCTGAGGTACGCATGGTGGTAGAGCCTTTCAGTCGATTTGCTGGCACCTATATGGACCCTCTCAACATACGGCCGTCCATGGAAATTCTATATTCGATGAAGTCACAGGTTCCATCTCTCGACATGACCTTATTCAATCACTTTATCGTCAAGTTTTATGACTCTGAATGGCACAGATATCTGGAGACAAGCGAAAGGCCTATCGTTACGAATGTGTGTCTCGGCTTCGAGTTCCTAGGCAGCGACATTCTTCCTAAGGCTTATTTTTTCCCGCGAAAACTCGGCCAAGTTGGTCTCACCCCTATGCAAGTTTGGGAGGATGCAATCATCACTGCCATTCCCCAGAGTCCTACAGTAGCAACTGTTTTATCCTTCGTCAAGATCGACGCTCCAAGGCTCGGCCTAACGTTGGCACCATTATGGCTTGGCATCGACGTGGTGAATCCAGTCGAAGCCCGTCTCAAGTTTTACTGCGTTGAGTCGCGAACCTCCTTTGATAGCGTTAAGTCTATCTTGACTATGGGTGGGATTATTGAGATTGCTCCAAACATGTTAGCGATGATTTGGGACCTCATGAAAGCTGTTTGCGACCTCCCAGACGATTTCCCTCAGGACAAAGATCTTCCCAGAGCGCCGCAGTATAACCCACTGACCGACGGAATCGAAACAGTTGGTCTCTGGGGGACCTTTGCATACTATTTCGAAATTGGACACGGTCGAGTGCTGCCCGACGTCAAGTTCTACATCCCCGTCTGTCACTACGGCACTAACGACCAGGCCATCGCCTCGGCAACAGCCAACTGGATGGAGAAAAACGGTCGAGGTCAGTATGTGAACGCCTATTGGGATACGATGCACAAGATCATCTCGCATAGGAAGCTAGATGAATCCCGAGGTGCGCAAATGTGGCTCTCCATGATGGTGAAGCAAGGCGAGTTGCAGGTGACCACATACATTGCTCCAGAGGGTTTTCATCCCAACCGTTTGCAAGGACACAAGATGTCTCATAGAGCTATCGCGGAACGCGTTATAGGCAGCCATTAGAAGGCCATAACTTGCGCTAGTCACAAGTAGCTGTACTGGATTAACGCGGGATTCTATTGAGGGAATTTCACAGCAGGCTTCTCACAGATGCACTTACACATTAATGACTCTTAAAAAGAATTCTAACATGTGTTTGCAATCGACCTGTACCTAGCTACAAACCCCCCAACAACCAAGTTATATTGGCGGGGGACGGCTGGATAGGGTTACCACTTCGTAATAGGAGTAAGTGTGACCTAGTTGGTAGCTGCACGTCACTCTGTATAGTATAACAGCGAAATAGTCGTGTCCATGCTTATACCCAGAGCGTTAGTTCGAGGTCTCTCAACTAAAGATCAAGTTGAAGGCTCCTGACGAGAAAACAACTGACGATCAAAAATTTATCAAGAGAGGGACCTTCTACACACCTACCTACACTGGATAGGCCTTCTATCTAAAGCTTTGCCAGTATGAAACGTTTAATCCATGGCTGGAAGTCAAACTGAAGTAACTTCCAAGCAAAAAACCTGGAAGCGTACGAAGGTACTGGTCCAAGTCGTTCCCCCGTAAAGTCTCATGGGTACACAATGCTAGCTATCCACAGTCATAGAAAGACTTAGAAATAGTAGACCTCGTCGAAATTATATAGTTCCTCCCACTTGAAGCTACAAATTGTATATTACTTCTAACTTTTACCGTTTTAGGTACTTAGACAATATAACAAAAGGAATACTTTAACTATAAGACCTGGCTCTAAAAGGAAGGGACTTATGTCTTTATTTAACACATGTTGATTCGTAGGCAGCTGAGAAAGTTTCACTTTATTGTACCTAGACCCAAAGGTCTGATCTGCGACGGTAGGTATACAAGCTCGGCTTCCGGGGTTAAAGGAGATATCGCGGATAATTCTGTAAGCGATGCAGAAAAACTCAATTTACGCTCAACACTCGAAAGTGTTCACACGGGTGAACTTGCCGCTTGTAGCTTCTTACTTCACACTAGAGCAGCCCATTTATACGCGATGCAGCCCCATCAATATAGGGATTGTGGGGAAATGCACGTACCATCAGATTTCCCCTCTTGGGATAGGGAAACCCGTCATGGCGTTGAAATGAATCTAACATTTATGCGCCAACTTTGTCCATTTGGGCCAACCGAACTCATAAGTTCGTGCTAGGATTAAGCCTTATGAGGTGAAACCTTATGCAGAATGGCCAGGGTTCACACAATCGGCAGACAAGTCTATCCGAGAACTCTAATCTTTCGCATCACCGTCAAGCTTTAGACTAGTATCCTACGCAATTTTCTCTGTCAGCTAACACTGTGCCATACTGCCAGCAGGTGGATCAAGAACTTTACCGATTTGACATGACTCGCGATATAACTCTGTAAGCACAGTGTTTTCAGATGGGTTTCAAATCATGTTTCCACTGCATAAGAAAAGAGAAACAGGAATTTACTATGCATGCTCTAATTGGAAGTCCTTACGACACAAAGAAGGTAACATTACTTTGATTACAGCGGGTACCAAACTGGCTTCACACCACATTTTGTGTGTTAATCTGTGGGACTCTTAATTCTGTTGAGGCCTGTGAACGGAAGAACACAACCGCTCAAAACGCCGGGCGAAATAATTCAGTGTCAACAGGCTTATATAACGGCTGGAACATATGTTAAAGGACGAGTCTGAAGTATTTTGTCTTATTTGTGACCAATAGCTAAGACTCCTATGATTGCCAACTTCGACTTGATATCAACTCCTTTGTTATGTACAGTATTAGCCTCTATAGCAAAGAACAAAAGAAAACAAAATGGCCTCATCAGGACGACAGTGGGCAACGTACTTTCCATCCTTGCTTTTATTTGGGCCGCAGGGACGACTATGTCCCGAGGACCTCTCCGAGTTCCGCACCCATCTGACTTCCGACTCGCGGTTATCCGAACTGCTTGTCGCCGCCCAGGACCTTCACAAGTTCTGGCCCAGGGCGGTACATCTCGACCCGGAGCTGGCACAGGTTCCCGCCAAATCATACCTACACGGTCTTTCAGAGTGGCTGGCGCACGCGACTTCTTCTCCATGTTCATCTCCTATTTTGCCCGCTGTCCTCTCCTTACCACTCAACTTCCTGTTCCAACTGACACAGTATCTTTCTTTTCTACAGTCCGTAGATGGACATGGAGAAGATCCGCAACGGATGTTGCTAGATGGACTGGAACACGGCGGGGTACAAGGATTTTGCGTCGGATTTCTCAGTGCCATAACTGTTGCGTCTTCGAATAACGTACAAGAGATTTTTGAGACGGCCAAAAATGCTCTTCGACTAGCGGTATTTATCGGTGCCTATGTCGACAAGGACGCGATGCAGACCGAGACAAAATGTATCTCTGTGCGGGGGAAACAGCCGGACGTCAAAAGCTGGAAAAATGCCACCAACGTCCTTCAAGCTTTTCCCGAGGTAATAATAACTTCCTCCTCGAACCCATTATTTTGGTATTTGACGCAAAGAAATATGGACTGAATCTACTTTAGGCATACGTATCCGCTGTCACAGGAGAAACCTCAATCACAATCACCTGTCTGAGCAGCCAAGTTGATAAACTGAGAGACGCCCTGGTCGGTGCCGGGCTTACTGTCCATGACGTTCCAGTTTACGCTCGATTTCATTGCTCTGTGTACAACCCGGAAGTAGAGAAGCTCGTGGAGCTTTTCAACAAGGTCCCTGACCTACGATTCCCTACTCCTGCAGATCTGCGTGTCTCCGTAAGATCTGCTACGGATGGATCAGTCATTACTCGGGGTGATCTCGTCCGGCACGTCTTGAACAACACATTGCTAAAGCCCGTCGAATGGTACACAACAATCAAACTTGCCATGGCCTCTCTACCTCCCGGGAACCAGTTCATCGCCCTAGCCGGTGCCTCAGACCCACTACCGCTATCTTTAGCAGGAAACATCGATGTCCGACACATGACGCTTCATGGCTTAACAAAACAATCCAAGTTCCGAATCATGTCTCAAGAACTGCGCTTTAACGAGGAGGTAATCCAACACACATGTCCTTATAAATCACCGGTAACCAGCGAAGATGATGGGATCCTAACTCCAACATCAAATCATGCTTGCAACGATACAGAGTCCCCGAAAAGATTAAGAGAATGTCCCTCGTCCAACTTCCCACCTCATTCAGTTGCCATTGTCGGTATTGCAGGGCGCTTCCCTGGTGCAAACTCCGTGGACGAGCTTTGGGAGCTGCTGTTGGATGCACGATCGATGGTGGGCAGGGCGCCTGCCAGAGTCGGGTTAGACCAACTTGACGAGGATGTCTCTCAAGTGAAGTGGTGGGGCAATTTCCTCGACGACTACGACTCATTCGACCACAAGTTCTTCAACAAGTCAGCCCGTGAGGCAATGGCTTGCGATCCCCAGCAAAGAAAACTACTCGAGGTTGTCTACGAAGCTCTCGAGTCCGCTGGTCAACTCGGCGCAGATGCTCGCTTGGATTGCACCGACTACGGCTGCTATATTGGCGCCGTTATGAACAACTACGTTACAAACGTCAGCTGTCACCCGCCAACGGCCTATGCCACGACAGGAACTGGCCGATCGTTTCTTAGCGGGGCTGTGAGCCACCACTTTGGATGGACTGGGCCGGCCTTGACCGTTGACACAGCGTGCTCCTCGTCATTAGTCGCCATCCACACCGCATGCCGTGCCATCGCGACAGGCGAGTGCAGCCGTGCCGTCGCTGGTGGTACAAACATCATTACAAACCCTCATGACTACCGAGACCTCAAAGCGGCCGGGTTCCTGAGTCCTACGGGTCAGTGTAAACCGTTCGACGCAGGCGCTGACGGCTACTGCCGCGGCGAAGCCGTCTGTGTGGTGGTTCTCAAGTCATTAGCCGCCGCCATAGAGGAGGGTGACAAGATTCTAGGGGTCGTCGTCGGGTCGGCAACCTGCCAGAATGACAAGGGCGGCCCCATCGTTGTGCCAAACGCCAAATCTCAGGCCAATCTCTTGAGAAAGGTTATGTACATGTCAAACGTCGTTCCCGGGGACGTCACGTATGTCGAGGCTCATGGGACCGGAACCGACGTGGGTGACCCTATCGAGGTTTCCAGTATCCGAGAAGCCTTTGGTGGGCCATCGAGGAAGTCTAAGCTACGATTTGCTTCAATCAAGGGAAACATTGGCCATGTAGAAGCTGCGTCAGGCGCCGCTGGCTTGATCAAGGCTATTCTCATGCTGAGGCATGGGAAGATCCCCCCGCAGGCGAGCTATAGGTCCTTGAACCCGCGGATTCCCGCTTTAGAGCCTGACGGCATGGAAATCCCAAAGATCCTGACCGACTGGGGTCCAGCAGAGCGCATCGCTTGTGTCAATAATTATGGCGCGGCCGGAAGCAACGCTGCAATCATTATTCGAGAGGCGCCGGCCATCCCCGAAACCACCGATAATAGGATAAGTTTTACGAAAGACAGCTCCCCGCCTTCAAGCTGGCCTGTAGTAATAACTGCATATACCAAAGCTTCTTTGTCTGCTTATTGCCAGAAATTGCTCGACTGGTTACGACGAGGAAGGTCTGATGGAGCGTCCGAGTTGAGTATTGCCGATATCCTTTTCAATCTTTCTCATCGGACCAACCATGCGCTGAGCAATATTATGTCGACTTCCGTTTCTGACGTATCCGCCCTCGAGTCGGTGTTATGTGCAGTAATCTCAGAGAGTGGACCAGTGTCTGTAACACCGTCCTCTCCGCCGCCTGTGATTCTTCTGTTTGGTGGTCAGGAGAGCCGGTGTGTTGGGCTATCAAGGGACGTTTGGAGATCCTCATATATCCTTCGCAACCATCTCGACCACTGTCAGGACCTTTTGCTAAGTCTGGGTCTTGGCGGGCTCTATCCCGATATCTTTCAACAGACACCACTCACTGACTGTGTCACGCTGCATCTTGCCTTGTTTTCTCTCCAGTATTCATGCGCCAAGGCTTGGATGGACTGTGGGCTGCAAGTGACGGCAG